GAGCTCGTTAGCCACCAACATTTACCTATTTACGAGGTCGAAGTGACTACTACATGTGTGGTACTTTGAATATCGCCACAAGTGAAAGAAGCGGCGATCTCTGTATCACATTCATTTGAAGAATATCCCAAAAAAGAGGGATTTAGTTGGGATCCAGTGGAGTTCTCCGTTAAAACCAGATAGAATTTTTTTCCTAGAAACGGAACATAAGTTTGACGGACGGTACCTCCGTGAGTGCGGCTACCACCTGCTTTGATCAACGGTAGTTCTTTTATTCTGGTAAGGAGCTGTGAAAGCTTTCCATTCAGCGCCGTTAAATGGATTGCGGAATCTCCAAGTCAAACAAATACAAAAGACAAGTGTCTACCCATACAGATCACCTTTAAATCTAGATGAAGCTTCCTGGAAAGTAAAAAAAAGTCATCACACTCCCGTTCTAGGTTCACAACGCTTACTCCATTTGCAACTCTGAATCCCTCCTTTACCTATCTTCGAGACAAGGAATGAACCAAATTATGCAGTCTAGTAATGGGTCATCCAGTGGTTCTCACTCAATAAAAAGCCGAAAATTTTCTACATGGGGGTGTGGGATTGTCACTTTTGGTGATACACACTCAGAGTTCCTAATCAAGAATCGATCTGTGATTCCGAGTTGTGTCCATTTCATGTAGGTAGTCCCAAATCTGGATAGGTTGATCAAGGAAGCACATTTTAATCGACCAAATAAACTTCTGCGTATTCAGCCGGTGGGTAGCAACGAAAAGATACAACGCGTCAATGCTGACGGAAGAACTACAGTTCTAATGAATTCTGGGTTTTCCAAAAACATGTGTAATTGCGAAATCTATGACCTATTTGGATGAAACTCTCTGTAACAATATAAAGGAAAGGGTACCTAATGTGAGATTGATATAATTAAGTCTGTTGTGTTCAATGTTGTCGATAGTCATGTGTGTCAACCCCGGAAAATATGCAAATAGTCTTTTTGGATTACACCAATGTGCAATTTCTCAAGGACTGATAGGCTAATCAGTTTGTATGGATATCCATTTCGGTTGTGTGAACACACTCATACCTGTGTGTGGTTTGTGCACCTCTCCACTATGGGCCTTTGTTGGCTAAAATTGGCGTACGCTGAATTTATCGTTGACACTGTCATGATATCTGATGTAGCGTGTTGTATCTTTTCAAAGTATAATACGTCCTTTGTGCTGGTACAACAGGCCCAATGGAGAATTACAGTAGTTATCAAAGTCCACATAACTCTTTGTATCCACGCCACAATTATCCTCCTACTCGACCATTCTGGCGGGCCGTTGAATAAATAGAAGCAATGAACATGAATTTTGCGCCTAATACAGCCTATGAACAATCAACACTCCCGACTACCTTTTTGGGACTTCAAATCAGGTAATCTGACACGAATTATCATTCGAATTATCACTTCATTATCACGGCGCGAGGTGCTTCAAAAAAGCCACCCAATACGGTCCTGGTTGTATCGGACGCCCGACAACTCTGCTAGAAAATTTTGACTAGGCATCGTCGAGGGTATCTAAAATGTGCCGGTTTAATTTATCACTCCTGGTCAGTCGCGTGATTTGCTCTATTTATCTTCATAGCCAGCGAGGGCGTGTATTACAGTTTGCTTTGGGCCAGCCAGTTCGAATCATATAATCAATCTGAATAATGTCAGAATTATCAATCATTTTTGTCACATAGTTGATCCAGTACACTTTCAGACATCAACACAATGGGGTCGCATTAACACTATTTGTTATCAATCAAAGAGGTCATAGGCAGTTTCCCGCGTGTGCATGAACAAGCTGTTGTCGTCGGGACAGAATAGATAGAGAGTAGCACTCGTAAGACGTTTCGGACTCACCGCTCTGGTTTACGTCAATATTAGTAAGAAAAATAACAGACAAAATCGTATTGATTAGCGAGATGGAAGAATTACTTTCTCAGTTGTTGTGAAAGAATAAACTTTTCATTCAGTTTGTCTGCTCTTTCGAGCATGCAAGGCCTGAGTCGACTGAGATGGTGACAGTTCTGGAAATTTGGAGTGCTGCGGTCGGATTTCGAGATAAACAGGATGTTGTTTCATCCTCAGATTTCGTGTCCACTAACCCAGTCCGTTCAAGACAGGATATGAGGTTCCGTAATTGAGGTAAACATGAGTAAAGCGTTGAAAAGACTGGTCTCCCACCCTCGTGGACAAACATATACTGACCAATGCATTAGGAATTTCACCTATCCGAGATAAATGCTTAGGGGGGATTCACTCAGCAATATAGCTTTTGGATTCGCAAAAACACTTCAGAGATTTATAAATTACTCTCAGACAGTTTAATTAAATTAAAACTGTTTTGAATGGTTTTGCATTAAGCTGTTGGTTGAATGACCAGTAACAACTCAGGCTGATGAGCAAACAAAGTTGCTCTTCGAGAGCAAACAGTATCTACAGCCCGTTGTCCAAAGGGAAACGCCAATTTTACTTCAACCCTGGATTCGGTGAGTGTTTTAACGTATTGTTCACTACATATTCCTCGGACAGAGTCTCTTTCTTGCCTCAGGAACAGTAAAAAGTTGTAAAACAGGTTTTCCTGGGGAGGTTAGTCATCCCCTTACTAGGGAACCTTTGATATTCAATTTGAGAAAATAGGACAGGCGGTAACAAATGTACAGGTTTGTTAAACCTAGTTAAATTAGCACTGGTTTACTGCGGTTTTATGTCACTGGTTTCACCTTCTCAAACATTGCTAAAATATTGCATGTTATCCAAATATCTGCCCTAGATTCAACCGTTCCGGGCAAAAAAATAAAACACATTTTCACAAACTACCACTTTCCGTAACAGCAGTTTATCCCAGAATTCAGTAACGTAGTTCGATAGGTGAGGTGACCGTCGGGGGAACATTGAAAATGCGTTAACTTTCATATCTGTCAGATCTGTCTCTGTAGCTTAATTGGACTTTCCTGTCATTCAACATGCACCTCAGCTGGTTTTTCCCCGTAGCGCCAGTTTACATAATAACACACCTCATTTTTACCCCACTTTCATTTTAGCATGCACTTTACTCAGGCACTCCATGCACGGTTTTTGCGGCAATCCTACCGGTGTTAAAACCCGCTTTCTATGGGTGCAGCTGAGTTTGTACCTAATTAAGCTATTTTTGAAAGTGAAATTTCTCGGTACAGCTTCACACAATTTCTTCACTCAGTCTGTTCAGAGACAACCCGTGTCCGGTTACCATGGCACAGAAGGCTTGACAGTTGTGGAGCTGAATTCCTATGCACACCCAATCCAGCCATGTTTGCATGACCATTAGCCCTCCATTAGTATGTCTGATTGTTTGATTGATTATCAAATGAGTTTTCTGAGTGCAGATGCGATAGTATGATAGCATAGACCCTGTTAAATGCTTGTAAGCAATTCACACTTATTATCACACCTTTGAAGAATAATTAATGATGTTGCAAGCTAGTTGATCCACTTTTTGTTTCCCAGTTGAACAGACAATTCTGGTTATGTGTTTGTCAAACGGAGAAACTGGTGAAATGTTTTGTCACTGAGCTGCAATCCTCACATTTGTGTTTCACTAGAACAACTCTTAAGTGCCGATGGACGCGCTGCGAGCCAGTTTATTGTAGTCGATTGGAGTGAACTCTCAAGTTCAGTCTTCTTGTCCTATTCGCCAGGTATGCTTCAGGCCATTTAACCACAGAATCCTCTTGCTGCTGAAAGCAGTCGAGATATACATTCGGCAATGTTATCCGATTCTACGCCTGCAGTGTCAAGCTTTGTCTGGTGGTTGCCAAAAACCTAAGTTTGCCGTTTTTTAGTAATAACTGTTCTACACATCCTATCATACCACTACCATGCTGCTGGTTTAAGACACGTTTAGTTAGTATAAGGTATGCATTCAGGTATGTAGTTTCGTTTGGTTTTCACATATTCCCTCACCACAAGTACATGGTATAAGTAATGCGAAAATTCTCATGGACTGAGAAAGTGCAACCGATACGGTACAGTAACTCCGCTAGCCGGCTATCCAAGCTAGCCGACATAGGTAGTCCAACGATTGACGGAGGCCAGGAGGCTCTGTCTCTAGGAGAAATACAGTGATGAGATATGAAGAGGAACTTGTCAGTTTGGTGTGTCCACACGTCAGACAAATGATAACGCTGTATGGACAGCCTCACTCCTCTGCTACAGTTCTCCCATTGTCACTGTTGCCTATCTGATCAAACTTGACAACCCAGTAGTCTGTCGGGTTCTGTCATTCTGACAGCTTTCAGTTTGTTGCTACCGCCATCATTCTGGTTTTGTGGGTGTATCCCGCTGAAGGTTATACTAACAACCAACTTGTCTGACACCCTACCGCGCTTCCGGATTCTCATGTGAACAGCGTACTCGTGCAAACGGCTTGTTACCACGTTTGTTCCCAGCCTTTGCTGAGTAAAATTCTTGGTCTGCTGATTAAGCTGACCAAGCTGCGTTGTTTTTGTCTCTTGTTGATTTTATCTCGCGCATGTTCTTTTGGGTTGTGCACTGTCCATAGGCTTTTGCTATTCTTGTAACCCATGTTACTTCCGGTCGATACACGGAATACATAGAATAAACTTTGAACCCGTCCGATAAGCTGAATTTCTACCATTAAAAGCTATTCTAATTCTGTTATCCGTTCATAGTGCATGCACTTGCGCCTCATTCTCTTTGATTCACCAACCTAACGTCCTGGTCGTTCGATTAACTTCAAATAATCGTGCCCCTCCATCTTTTCAAATGTATCTACCCGCTAGTTTGCTGATATATATCAGAAATTCCTAATTTTCTCTATTTAAGCTAAGGCAGAATTGTAGCCTGTTAATGGACCTGGATGCTGATGGTTACCCCTTATTTCTGGACGTTAGCTGGATCATCACTAATAAGGAGCTCTGTTGAGTTTCGAATAAAGTCATGAAATGGCAAAAAGACTGTCTATCAGAAAACACACCTTGTGAGCGAAACGCTGGCCTCCGTACAGGTTGACTTTGCTTCATGATGAATCTTATGGTGATCCATCTTGCTTTCACTTCGAATTTCCCGCCTTCCATGAAATGAAGGATTCCGGTAATAAAAGGGATAGCGAGCTAAGTCGATAAAAAAATGGTGTGATGCAGAAAATTTAGGCAGTAACATTGATAATCGTAACATTACTAATAATGCCAACGTTATCCGGTTCATCAACAACAGCTAAGATCACAATCGATGAATTTGATGATGACAATTAGAAAGGTTTAACGATTAACTGTCGTCGAAATGACGGCCGATAACTTAGCCAAGCCCGCGGAACGACAAGCTAGTACCGATTGCAAGCAACTTTATGATGGTTACTAATTATGCACTTTAACCAAGTCTCTTCTTGAAGCAAAATTATCTCAAGCCGACTAAAAATGGTTGTAATATTCAGGCCTCTTACTGCCGTCGAGGATAAGGCTATCGGATTCTACGCATCTGATATTCAATCATCCCAAACTGTAGGGAATAACTTAACGGCATCTTACTATGAAAGAAACGGTGAGTTGACAGCAAAAATTAGTTGAGGTTGGAGCATGAATAGCGCAGCTTGATAGAAGTTAAAAACAGACCGCGAGGTAGCAAGGCGTTCTGAAAGCTAACAACCCGTAAATATCGTACTATGTACAAACATGCTCGTTAGTTTTAGAGAAATACACTCATTTGCAAATCAATTTGGTTGTCACGGAGACTCAACTGAATCCCTCGTTTATGATATTCTACAACTGAATGTGCTGCACGCAGGCCGCCTCATGGTTCAGTTGGGACGATATTCGAGATATCGCAGTATATTTTCATAAAGGAAACTACTCACAAGTTTGCTGAAAACTCTTCAACAGCCCACGAACATAAGGTTGACGGAAACTCGGGAACTGCGTCTACTTGATTAGCCCCAAGAAGGGCAAAACCGGTCATGTCCAGTCCAAGCAACCTTGTGAGTAGTTTCCTTTATGCTTGTAAGTTATTTATTTAATGCAAACGGGTAGCGTCATATATCGTCCCACTGCGTGCCTACAGATGGGAAATAAACTTTAACCGGGAGTAGAAAACCGGGTTACAAGTGGTCTGTAGGGAAGGCGGTGTTACGCCCAACGGGTATAAACCCGTGTTACTCACGTGGTTAAAATGAATGCAGACGCCTACCATTACTCACCATTTGAACCCAATGAAACTTTGACCAAGTTAGTCAGCTTATTTCTTGATACAAATTATTAACCCCGCAGTGACCCTTAATGTGCATGAGTTTTACGGCACCCTCCTTATTACTGAACGTTAGATATGCAGATGAGCAAGCGGTTGATTTTTGCCTGCGTTTTTCACAAACGTCAATACATCATTGAATCGTAGATGGGTGGATGACTCGTGTAAGTCTCTTAGTCGTCCATAATCTGGTACCGCTATTTACTCGGCAGTCTATGGTGAAAGCTCGCAACGAAGAACCAAGGCTGTGCGTTTTCTTATTTCATGGGTAATTCACAGGTTGGTTGCCATAGTTCTATAGTGAAATACATGAATATTTGAAAAATATCAAACGGAAGCTTTGAATGCAGTAGAATCTCACAAATGACTTCTCTTACGAAAGGATTCTAAAAAAAAATCATTGAAAACATCGTTCATCAACAACGATTACCAACACATGAACGAAAACTGCTGCTAGTATGACTTCACTTTTAGTTCGAACATCTATTATTTCGCGGTTAGAGAAAAAGGAGCACTGCGACAGGCTGAATCATGAAACCAGGGTGAAATGCACACATGAACGACGATATATTTAGGTATGCTCAAAATCATCAAAGCCATGAAGCCCGTCTGTTTGAACAAACCGGCAGAGGGATGCGACACCCTTCATTGTCTAGCATTCTAGCGATGGCAAGTGTCCCTCCATGCTTCATATATGTTTCCACTCATATGTGTCTGTATGACTGCATCAGTTCACCCCGTGTGCTCCTGTAGCCGTTGACAGCATGACAAGTCCGACTTGGTACACGTCTAAGCCAGAAAGACCCAAAGTTTCGACACCGCGTGTCGAAGTACTGCAAAACACTCAGGTCAAGCAGAGGTGCATGTGTGAGTCACATTCACTAATGCAAAGCCACCCACTGAGACGCTGACAGCAAAAATTTTGTAGAGGTTCAGACTTCCTGAAGGTTATATCTATGAGATATATGAAAAAGGAAGCGGACAAATACTGTGCAGAACAAAGCAGTTGTTATCGGCTTTATCAGCCGTTCAGTTCCCATTGAGAATCTAGTGGATTGGCACTTTGGTGAGCCGCGGAACACAGCGGTGAAACTGCATACATGCATCCGAAATGTCAAGAATGCGTTTCAATCTGCTGCTGTTGTCGCCGCCGCCAAAAGAACCTCACAATAATCTGCTACAATCTGCAGGCTGCATATCTGTATGTGATTAAACATTCTTTTCACCGAGTATCAGAACAACAAAAGCATGTTAGGCGGGTTTATGTTCCACGAGAAGACTAATCAGTGGGGGAACCACTATGACTTTGAGAAAACTTAAAAAACCACCGTTTCCAGCTTCCAGGCCAGATATCAACTTGTGCTTGCTTGTTTCTCTGAAACAAATCGGTTCGCTTGACGAATGTATCAAACAGATGCGACGAACCATCTGACCCCTTTGCGCAACGCGGATAGTTTTGCAGTGGAGGTTCTCAACTGGGGGAGGGTGAATTAACTGATTGTGCTACACAACGGCCGCCCCGTGCTTCAGTCAGAACGGTATTCCTGTAACCGTAGCACAGTATCTATCGGGGCACATTCCTTTTGAGTTCATGTTATACATTCACCTGAAAAAAAACATCGAAAACAAGAGACCCACTCGAGATTCACGTGAGCCTCTCGTCAAAACCAAATTAGGTTGCAAAAGGCTTAGCATATACAGTAAACTTTTGGTTCACGGTGAACATGGGGTTGACGAAAAGTCAGATATTCCACCCACCTGAAGAAGGGCAAAACTGATTGTGGATTGACGAAGGCTGTCCAGCAACGTCATGAATACTGTGTTGCGCTGTGGACTGTTGAAGAGGTTTCAGCACCCTATGAGCGGATTGACGAAGGCTGTCCAGCAACGTCATGAATACTGTGTTGCGCTGTGGACTGTTGAAGAGGTTTCAGCAACCCTATGAGCGGTATGATTCGTCAATGGAAAAGTTATACACCCTCTATAATGTAGCTGCAATAAGTGACACCTGCTTGGTTAGTTAAAATACAGTTAACCAACAATGACTGGACCCTATAAATTTCAAAGTCTTCGGAACTAAAATTATGCCAATAGAAGAAGAAGGCAATCAAAGCTTGGAAGTCAGTTGAGCTGACGACAGTCTGGAGTGGATGCATAGGTAGAGTCTGACTGCAGGCGGAACGACTGAAAGTGCGGAAGGACGATTTTTCGGATGTGAAAATTTTACGAATTGCAAGTATAAGGGGAATCTAGATGGGACTGATAACACACCACGATTAGATGGTGGACTGAGTGTTATCGTACAAAGGCACAAATAAGGTATGCATTTAGTTCAGTATAAATAAAATAACTGAGGTTACACATAGCGCAAAGCAGTATAATTCCTGAGGCCGCTGGTATCGGCAAGCAGGTAATCCATTGGATGATATCTCCTAACGAGCACCTTCGGAAGTCTTCTTGGGCTGAGATTTTGGCTGTTCTCCTGAAACGTTTTTGTACGATGAAAACAATAACTGATACCAAACTTTGGTGACTTTTTAGGGTGGGTTGTATCCAATTGTCTGTAAACTACGACTTTTGTCCATTTTTCTTGATCGGTAAAATTTGGGTCTGGGCACACTTCTGAATGAATTCATAAATAACTCAAATTTGGTTTCCCTTGAACACCCAGCACTGCTATCCTCAGTTTGCTGCAATATCGCGAGTTCAGTTCTAGTAGTATTCGTGTTCTATAATATACTACACCCACACATTATGGTGTTTGCATTTGGACTATATGCCTGGGATTTATCTACATGATTTCCCAGTGAGTAACTAGTTAGTACAACCGAAAAATTATCTTACATTTTTCTTCTGACTGGCCTTGCATTAATTAATCGTACAAAATAAATACTAAGCTTCCTACAGTAAGAATCGGCCTTTACACCCCCATCTTGTGTGGTCAAACAGATCTTTGTTCCCATAGAAATGAAGCAACAAAATATACCAGACCTTTCAGTGTGACCTGGGCTGGCAGAAAGTTTTCTTTTCTTGTCAACGTCCGGCCAACCTGTAGAAGCTACCGACTTTCGTAATTTCCCCATCGTTGAATACTGCTTTGTCCCAATTATGATTCCAGCTGTAACCTTCGGCCCGAGGACCCCGCACTATTATAAATTAACTGAATCATTGGTTAACATTAGTAAGGACCGAAAACAAAGCATTCTGGGTTCTATGAAAACAAAACGTGACACCTAAAATGTGTGAACCTAATGAAGTGTTGAACCTTCCATACGGGGTGCACATAAAATGGAGAGGAACAGTATCCTCAATGTGGTTTCACACATCATAGCCTCAAACGACGGTAACAGGCAAGCGAAGCGGGCAAATATATCATCGCACCGTAGAAATACGATAGTTGGATCAGTCCTTCCAGGTCAAAGTATCTCATGTTGTGTTACAATCTGATGTCATCCTGGTCGAACATCACTGCCAAGCACCTTCAGAATCTCTTCTAGAGTAAGGATTGTTTACAATTCGCCACGTATTTTTGCGCAGTTTGCAAGGAAACTCTATATAATTGATTCTTCCCAGTCTGTTCTTCTGAACAAGATATGAGCCAGTATATACCCCAGACATTTCCAGACAGTCACAGTTTAATGGAATGGGATACTTTTCCATAAGATGATCGACAAAGCACTTCCTTTAAATCAGCCCTTGAATAGAAAGGGCATATCTACCTTGACCGGGGTGAAGGCCAAAAGGATAAGTTCAACGTGCAATTAAGTATTGGCTAAACGTTCACAAGAATAGCACGTAAATCTCGGGGATGTAGACTTATTCGGATAGTAGAGCTGAAGCAATGGGATCTGTTCAATGGTTTTTAAGATTGCATTACTTTTGAATTATGCGACGTTCACTTTTTCAAGATGTGTCTGTTTCCCTTTTAGGTGGACATCATAGTTGGAATATGACCAACACTTGCTAAATAAATATGTCACTCTGTTTCCACGGGATATACTAACTATATATATATATATATATACCCTGGGATTTTACTTTTTCAAGATGTGTCTGTTTCCCTTTTAGGTGGACATCATAGTTGGAATATGACCAACACTTGCTAAATAAATATGTCACTCTGTTTCCACGGGATATACTAACTATATATATATATATACCACTGAGATTTTGGTATATTTTCCTCCAGAATATTCCAGCTATCTATATAATTTTGAAGGTGGGATAAAAAGGCTGCTTGAGTGAATATATATTTTTATATGGACGGCCAAAACGTACGAGAATAAACTACCTATTGCCGCCAGGTCGCGGGTTGGATCCCCGTTGTTCCCATAACAAGGGGTCGTCACTATCAGTAGTCGAAAAACAGACGCTGCATATCACTCTATCGATTATCTATTTTTGATGGAAATTACAAACTTTTTCGGTGGGAATACGGTAGCAACTTCACCAGTACCGCTAATTTAACTTTTGATAGAGCTAATTTGTCAAGTCCGATTTTGGCCGCTGTTTGCTGCTGCAAAGATATGCAAAGTATTGGTTCCTCACAAACATTGGAAATTTATGAGGAATTGTGGTTACGTATTTCCAAGTGGAAAGAGCCAACGGAATGTTCATGAGGTGACCTTATTCCAAGATTATTTCAAAAAATATCATTGGTAATGGAGAGTGCACTTGAAAACTATCCAGTGGAGTCACCAACCGTTGAAAGTCCACGTCTACCCCATATATTAACCAAGTGATTTGTTTGCTCACTTGGGGCATTAATTTTATACACTTTCTGTGAACTCAAACGATCAGATAACATCTGCTTATTTGAGACAGTATCCGTCGGTGAACGAAGTTTATTTCAGTCAGAGAACTGTTTTGCGCTGATTGCATAGCATAAATTAGATCAACCAGCCTTGAGTCATTTCTGTTGATAATACAATAATTAGATTTCAACCACTTAATCCAAAACAAACTTTGATGTATTATTAGATCCTGCGTCTGAAGCGTTCAATTGTACTTAAGTGGTGCTATGCACTTATTAGCAAATAAAGATCTTAGGGTGATTTCGGGTAAATGTTAAATGAACTGTCCTCTACAAAATTCGACCAAAGGAGACGGCATTTGTGCAGCTGGACAATGTTAAAAAATATTCAACAAACTGCCAAATGCACCTCTCTGTAACACCATTTTTAATTTGCAACGAATATGTATACCCAATTGAATATAACCTGACAATTATGTGGGCATTAATACTGATGTAAATTCGCTGACTAAACTGTCTGAAGGGTTCCGAGAAGGACGTGACCGGCGGCGAGCCATCCAAGAATTTTTACCAACTCAGTAGTCGGAGTTGCATATAAAACAATCCTTTTTAGCTTCTGATCACGATTTCATCCTGTAATTTAAGCTAGTCTGTGCTAAAAAGCTGGGAAGCACGGATCGTTGTTTCACCCTTACTGGGACCTTCCTGGATATTTGTCACACACGCACTGCTGATGAAGTTGCTGACAACGCAATCAACTTATAAGTAACGCAATATCGAATTGAGGGCCAATCTCACTGTTTTCAGTCGCTCGTGGACAAACAGACTCACGTTTAACCATGGACTCGAAATTCCTTTGAGTGTTATGTGCAACAATGATTATTCCAGATAAGTAAGAAACAACTGCACAGTGCTTCTCGGCTTTTCAGCATCGATTGGCTTCAGTTGAAAATTGCCAAATTTTTCCACACTATCACCAGTCGCTTTTGGATTAAGTAAACCAACCGCACGAAACCGTGTGAAGCTTTCCTCCGAATGGAGGCAACTTTATGACGCACAAGGACTTTCGTCGGTGACGGTTATAAGGTATTCCAATTAAGGAACCATGAAAATATGGAAGTCAATCAAAACATTTAAATAACTCTGGGTCATGCGCATATCCTAATGTTACTGTGTACATATTCATTCAAATAAGGATAGGACAACTCATCCTAAAAATGATAAAAAAATGACCATCAGATTTCAGACATCATTTTGGGGGTCAAGACGTTGGACACTTTTCTTTAAATCATTACTGAATGGGTTGAAAATTGGCACGGCAAGTTGGTAGACTGCCAGTGTCACTGGACATTCTCCTTGGAATGGCTGTGCAATAGAATTTAAGCAAAGCTCACGTGATTTCCCATGCGATGTTTCTTAGTTGTGCTGACCGAGCCATCCATCATTCAACAAACGAAAATGCTGGAAACTGAAAGCAATCAGGCAAAAGAATCACTGACGCCTGTCAGCTAAATTGTGCCTTTAAAAGTACATCAAATTTAGGACCCAAGCTGGGCGTCAGTACTTATTAGGCTGTCAGCTTTTTCGTTCGACTTTGTTTGCCCCCTATGTATTTGTAAGATAACATCAAACTTATTTCAAAAATTAGTCCATATTTACGTATAAAATAAGCCAAGTCCGTGTTTGTGGATTCGTTTGGGCCGGTGAAATTTTCCAAAAACTTTCTGAATATCACTGGTTTCAAAACATCGAGTTTCAACCACCTACTCAAGACTTCAAAATTGGAGTAGGATCAAAGTTAGCCATCATCTAAGATAATGAGATCAGGTGTGACTCAAATCTAATTCCCCAAGCTGTTTCCACATGGCATCATTTTCCAAGGTTGCCTCTCCTGTTCCTCTATTCTCTGTTGAATTATCAGCTTGTGGAAGAACCTTTAAACAAAAAAAAAACAAATAAGCGCGAAACTCAAATAGTATGGTAAACTTGTATGTGAAATAATGTATTTTGTTTGTCGGACAAGCAGCTGTTCATGATATAACGCACTGTAATAGCTTCCCTTAAAGTTCAACCTTAGTTACTGGTGTACATGATATGTTCAAGATTTAACTGCTGCTTAGTTGTGTAAGGTCGTGCACAGGAGCTCTAGTAAGTAGGAGTTAGTCAATATTCACTCAGTTGTGACCTTCGAATTAGTGCTTATTCACCGACATCTACCATCACGAAAACCCCATATTGGATTTATCACAGAGTTAGAGCTTACGTCTGGCGTGTTGTTCATCTAAATCGACCATACTTGGGAAATCCAATGAAACATTAACTCTGTGTCCAGCGGTCTTCAGGCAATTTGAATATGCATAACTACATAAGCCGGTAATCGATTACGGGCCCATAAAGAGAGGTGATACGATGATGGTTCACTAAAATATGACACGTCTGGCCAGTGCAAAATTCTGTTATCTTAACAATGTAATGGACAATGTGCCCCGCTGTGCCCTGTGTAAAAATATAATATTCTCAGATATATGTAAGTGAAAATCACTGTGAAGTTCGAAGCGGTCACAGGGGTGTATTGAGCAAAGACCTGCACTCAGCTTTGGTGTGTTTTGGGGCTCAAGTGAAAAATGATCACGCTAAAGATTATCAACAAGTAACAAAATCTTTTGCAATTATCTTTTTGGAACGACAGGTCTACTGGGATGGTGTTCTACATATATCACGTTTGGATCGAACTCGGTCCTTATATAAGATTATCCATAATCTGATTTATTCGCGGATGCAGATAGGGAACATCGTCATCATCATCATCATCGCAATCATGTCCTTGTCGAATATCACTTTGTAGACGGAGGCTTTTAGAGAGCATCTCGTTTAGTCTCAGGCACCGTAAAGTATGGCACAAATTGCGTGCTGTAATCGGTTTCATGTACCCAACCGCTGAATTAGTCCTGTTCTCGCTAACCAGACCAGTCAACCTCGATGTGTGGCCCGTTATACCCAATCTCTTTGTTCCACACATTGTGTACTAGTAAACATTCGATTTCGGTGAAACATACATTGGCAAAACAGATAGGAGCTTATGCAAACTATTCCCAGAACATTTGCCTCGTCATTTTCTTCATGATCAACCGATGGCCTGCAAGCTGGGACCAGAAAACCTGCCTCATCTAGTGCCAAACATGTTTTGTCCATTGGCCTCAGAATTGGTCCCTTTATAGCCTTCAGAATTTTACAGTGGAATGTCACTTTGGAATTGTTAGATTTTGGGAAAACCCTTTTGATCCATCTAGTTTGTGCACGCAAAAGTCTCTGCCAGAAACTCCGCTCGCGTTGGGCTAAAGAACCGGACCTGACTAGCCCACCAAACGATTGGCCCGTTCCACTGTCCAGCTACTATTTATCCTACTTATGATGTAAAATTGGCAGTCGTTAGCAATGCAACTGAAGAGATAATTGCAAAGAGCTTTCAAGGCCTTTGTTCTATCATTCAACAGCATGTAAATGGCTCATTGTTTCGAAACTCCAATTCCTGTCTGTCGGACGGAGGCGACTAATATCGGATATCCGGAAAAACCTGGTGATTTTCAATTATAAGGAGCCCTGTATATCTCATCGCAGCGGTATTTGGAATGCCAGAAATGCGTAGCCAAAAGCGCGTAGGGATTGACGGGTGTTTGGCCTAACCACTTCGTTTGCATCCTGTACCCCTCTTTCTGATGCTCTTCACACATCAATGTCGGGCGAGTCCATTATGAGACCGACAGCAATTTGTCCCGCTTGCTTCAGACTACGACTGCTGAAGCAGACCAGGCTTGCGTCGTCGCTTGAAGATTGGTTTTGAGATGCCTGAGACTGTCTGCACCGGATGATGCGCAGACGTTTCGGCCGTGACCATGATGAACGGGGTTTTCAGTTCTATCGAACTGGCCTACAAAAGGAATGTCAATAATGTGGTGGTGGACGGGTAAGCGAAAGTTTATGAAGAAGAAGAAAAGATGCCTGTTTTCGTATATTGGCCATCCTGTATGCACAAGTAAGGTGACCGCGATGGTGGCACAATCTGACGGCCGATATGGCACAACACTCCTTTTAATTGTGGGAATCATGATTTTAAACTGGCATGAGTAATTCTAGGGCACCCAGAAGTATACAGGAAAACCATTGGAATCCTAAATTAAAGCCCAAATGCCTGGCCGTACGGCAATGGTGTTTGGCGGGGAACTAGCAGTGCATCACTCTTTTTTACGGAAAAAGTCCTTACATGCTCCTTACATGCCCCCAACCTGAACAACCAAGAGTCTGTCGGCAAGACCTCTAATTAGCACCCAACCTTGTACGAGAGGCTGTGTAGCAAGGGCACCTCATAGTATAGCCCCATGAATCACGGAGGCAAAGAACACTAAACAAGCCACTCTGTGTGGTGGCTGCCCGGAAGGACATATCGAAAGTGAATTATTGATTGTGTGGGGCAAGCAAATAAAAAAACACTCCCCAAAGATGACGTACAACACTAAAGACTAATAGATGAAGATAAATAACAAATACTTGTCACAAGCTAACAAGCCTTACAAGCTTGCAGCTTGAATTTGAATGAGTTGGTGTTACGGAGATCAAATATACAGAGTGAGTGAGCAAACAGAATTTCGTCGAAAGGCACCAGCTTGAATAAGTGGGTAAGCTGAATAGTGCATGTAGAATGAACGTGAATCAACCGGGCTGACAAAGTGATGGTGGTGAGACTGCAGTTGTCCCACCGGCTTAGACCTCCTCGACTCACTGATGCATGTTTTGTCGAAACTGCCGTACCTTTCATCCGAACCAAGCAGTTGTCTTGCCACGGGACTCCAATGGGAAAATTAGTTAACCTACGAGTCCGGCCTCAATACAGTGCTTCTGAAAGGTGAGGGTTTCAGACTAATTTTCTGTCAAAGAAAATCATACTAAGTTTAAAGAATTCAAGTTCTCCTTATTCCTCGTGACCGGTAGGCGACTTCTGAGAACTCATTAGAATTTACCTAATGTTTAGAGAAAATCCGACCGTTTTGCCTACCCTAGTTCATTCCATAGTTGCGGACCTATGAATTGCGCATTTGGGTTTTACCATTCACATGGCGACCTTTTATCTGAGTCGCAACCGTACCGGAGTTAGTGAACAAACGTTAGCGGTTTCAGAAGAACAGCATAGAATCAAGCCTTACAATATTTGGGACGACAGTGTCATGCGTAAAAACATACCTAGCAACGGAAAACCTGTTTGGGCGGCGTGTTCAATGACAAGCAGCATCTACATTGTTTCATAAAACCCACCTAATCTTCAAACGGAAAAAATCCGTTTGCAGTAATAATAGAACTTGAGTATCACATCAGTCATGTGACTAGGGTGAACCACGCTAACAGTAGGTATGTTATTCAGTCTGCTGTGCGGCTAAAAGAAGAATTGGTCCTTGAGTTAATTTCGTCACTACCTTTGTCATCAGACTGATAAGGACAAAGTCCCGCATAAAACAGAAGGCAACGAAAAGGATTTGCACATGATTAATGTTTGGGAGTTTTGGTAGAATGAACTAAAATTCCGGGTAATATTGATATGAGGGCTCTTAAGAGCTCTGAATAATTCTAGTAAAGCACAGTAGTAATCTCCTTTGCACCAACCTCTCTAGTCCACTGATAGTCAGAATGTATAAGAAAGACAGGGATTGAGTGCACTCTCTTTCTAGCGTAAATATCACATCTGCTCGCGCAACTTCTGGATTGGTCCTCTTTCTGACTATCACGCAGAAAACATACTAGGTGACAAGCTTGTCAATAAGCTATTGCGACAATGGGTTACTGCGATCCCAAGTTACTCGTGAAAACATTCAAACCTAATGGGTATAATGGTAAGCCTATAACTACACCATCCTTCTGAAAAAATGACCTACATTTGAAGAGAAATGCACGCTCCACTTGCACATCAGAAGTTGCTTTTGCATATATTCAACGGGAATCCCTGTAACGTACATATTCACAGAGACTACACTGCCGTTTCCTGTGCAGGTACACTTGTGAAAAACGAGGTAACGCAAGGGAAACCTTTTTGTTTAGCATGATTACTGACGGGAGTACAAATGTGCCACCTAGACTCTGCTTGCCAAAATGCATCCTGAATTGGCCAGGTTTTTGGTGAGCCAATTGACCGAAATATGCTCTGAGGAGTTGCGCGCATCTAGGATCGGTCTCAGTGAAAGTCCACGCAGTTTATGGGTACCCTACAGTCGTAGTGTGCTTGTCCCGGCCAGTCGGGTCCTCTTGGAAGCCCAGTTTTAGGCGGCCCATCACGTAGTTGCTGACGTTTTTCCCGATGACTCTGCTAATTCCTCTGCTATAGACAATTTTGGAAATTTTTTGTCAATGTAATCTGAATTATTTTGTCAAGACACTTCCTGGGTAGTTGTCTGGTGTACTCACCACTTCATACATACACTGCAAAGTGTTCATACAGGTTTACAGGGTTCCCCGTCACCTTTCCCTTATCTAAAGATCAGTGTGCATGTCTATACCACTTCCTCGTATTATACACCATTCCACACACAATTTCACACCGCGGCCAGGCCTCGGCCAAGACATCAGTTGATCACCTCGAGGACCTAGAATCGGGGCCTGGTCACCATGACCTGGGTGTCTGAAACTGAAATCGCACCAGTAATTTCTTTGAATCACGGGCGGATACCAACGGCCTGGGCAATGGATAGAAGCAGAGACAGGATGAATCACCTTTACGTCTGTGTCTGTCAACTGTGCCGTCTCACAGGCCAATGCTTAAAGAATCAGACTAGCCGACAAGCTTGGCTGGGTGAAACAACCCACAAAGTGGCCCGTGTTTACCTGTGTCCCTCGAACATCTAGCCGTGCATAAGATTGGAAACCGTGTTTATTTGGACACAAGACAATAAATGCAACTCTCGTTGAGCTGGCTAGTTTCGCATCGCTGATCCTACCAAACAAACCAATGCAAAGATCCAACCGGAAGAACCTTAGTCTGTTGCTTGAAGCCGGAAACTCTCGAAACTGTCCAGCAAGAGTGAGAGTTTGGAAAACTGGAAGTGAGCTCCCGGGACGGTATGCAGATTGAACTAGTGCTCTGAACTACACAGAACTAGAGGGTATAATTTTGGGATTTAGGCTTAATCTAACTGCGGCGCTGTTTACATTACATCTTCAGCCCATTACCGAAGTTGACAAGGACATTGGTTAGTTTGTTAGTTGCATGGCGCCTCTTTCATTCATTTAGGCAAAAAATTCAACCCTCCATGCT